AGGGAAGCTTACTTTTGATCAAAGCAGGAGCAGCCCAACTGCAGATGATCAAAGACCCAAGAGTTAGCTGGTGTTCTGGAAAACCAAATCTGTCTCTCACTAGCGAGCTCAGTAAGCTGCTCAGCTCAAGTGAGGTTGCAATGGGAGTCATGAAGTTTAGAAAAGAAGAGAGTCTCAGTCAAAAATGGAAAATTGCCGTGTGAATAGCATCTCATTTCTGGGCATTCAGTACTGGGGCCATAAAAAAGAGTCCTCTCTAAGCACTTGCAGCTTGTGTGGTGTTCAGATGTGGGATTTGATCCTGGAAAAATGTAGATTTGAAAGATACAACTGGCCTGAATGGACATAGAGCAGTGAACCATGTGTAGTGCCTGGTACCCTGGGAAAACACAATCTTGTGTGCAGCTGTATGTTTTGCTGTGATTCGGTTGTAGTTTTGTTCCCTATTGTAAAGAATCATGAGTTCTTGTGCTGGTTTTCCTGTAGACTTTTGAGGGACAAAGGTTATTTGGATTTCATCAGGGGAAGCAAAGGCAATACAGGGGGAGGACATTCTGGTGGTGACATATCAATTCTGTTTTATGGATATAAAACATGACTGTCATTCTTGTAAAGCTGAATCACAGCTCTTTTCTGTAGCAGAAGAGTAGTGTGCTCAGGTCAGTAATCAAGAGCATAAATTAGAATAAACTGTGCTACAGCCTTGCTTCTTAGCTGGCTATCAATCTGAGGAAGATGATGGGGAGGACAGTTTTCATTTGTGCTGTTTAAACTGACAGGCAAATGTATCTTCGTTCACTGGGAACTGCATGGTCTAGAGTGGGAGTTAATAGGCAGAAGCCGCACTCAGAGCCCAGGGAGTGGGTGAGACTGATGCTTCCTCTGGGAGAGTGCGAGGGGCTGGTCTCCAAACACTCCTGGCAGGACTAGACCCTGCCAAGCGCAGGAGATGGGTTTCAAGGACATCTGCGGGGGTTGAGGGAACCCATGTTCCTTGTGCTAGAACCCGGTGTTGTGCAAAAGCTGTATTCTGGGAAAGTACAGCGTGAAAGTCTTCTGCGGGAAGAAGTTGGCTGGTACACCAGGGAGCTGCCTCTGCTAATTTGCCTCGGTGTCTGTAGCAGGAGGAGAGTTGTTGTGAAGCAAATAAATAGCATGAACACTCTTGGGGGAAAGAGAAGAAATCTTTTCTATTTGGTCTATTGACTAGATACTCTCTCACAAATTTCTTAATGCTGTTGTATCATTAATGCTTGCAACTTAAGTGCTACAGCATCAGTAGCATTAACACTAAATAGGCTTAGCATCTGGCTGGGTGCTTCAGATGTGGTTTGGGGCTTGTGAATGACAGCCCAGATGGTGATTATGCAGCAGCTCAGACAGGATGATTTGGTTTCAGTCAAGCTCACTCCATGGCCAGTAGCATCTTCTCCTTGCTCAGTGCAGAAGTGACACTGCTTTGGTGTCCCCTGCCTTTGTGGTGGGAGACACACACAGGTATCCCCATCGTCCAGCCTGCTTCATGGATCCTCCCTCTGCACCTCCATGAGGTGCCAGATGGTGAATTCACCACTCCCAGTGACTCTGATGGAAAAGCTGAGGCTATTGTGAGAGTTAGTGACTTGCAGGACAGTCCTGTGCTTTTCAAAGCTGTAGGCTCATGGAATAACTCTGCTACAAGTGGAATTCATTTCCTTTCAGATCCAGAAGTGGTTTATTTTGTACTTAATCCTTTTCTCCTTACCCTGCTGCCTCTTTGGTGACACATCCTTTTTCATTTCTATTTTTGGTTTGTGGATAGGGTAAACAGTCAGTGATCAAAGGGAATCTCTGGGACTCAGGAAATTTCATCTCTGTTTCATAAAATGACATCTTCCTTTCCACTGCCACGAGCTGAAGCCAACTTTCCCCTGCTGCAGCATTCCCACATGATAGCATGTGCTGTTTGACATCTGAGCTGCAGTTCTGTAACTTAGCAGCAGAGCCAGAAGTGTGCAGGAAAGATAAAAATACATGTTAATCTAGATTTTTGACATTCTTATCTGTCCTGAGGCACATACAAGGTACTGAAATCCAGTGTAGGTGAAAGGCAAGGATGAGGCTAGTAGTGATTGCTATCCCCCTTACAGCCAAAGAGGTAGGAGTGGTGTGTGATGTGTTGGGTGTTGTGTGGGGATGTATACCTGCCTCTAGCTATTGTGTAGAACATGCACATTCAGGGTCCCAGTCTTGTCTTACTCAAAGAGCCAAAGTGAAGAATGGATACTGCAAAATACAGTAAGAAAAATGAGCATTGCAGGAGGACAAAAATTTGTCCGGGCTGGTAGCTAGAGGAGACTCCTTCACCCCTGTAAAATTCCATGGCTGCAAGAAGAAGTCCTATGGTGTTGGCTCCACAGAGAGAAATTTCAGTTTAATTTTGGAAATTTATCTGGAGTATGTCCACACAGGGCTTTGTCCTGGTGCAATCAGATGAGCTCTTAATCCAATTTCAGTTGGAGCAGATCTCAAAATACGCAAATTGCTCAGCTCCAGCTCAACGAGCCAAGCATACAGGAAATGTGCCAATGCAATGGATTTCAGCTACTCTTTAGTAAAGGCTGAATGTTAGGTGAATGAGTTGGAAAGAGAGCCTAAGCCTTTTGGTGAGAGAACAGGTGACGGTTCATGTTACATGAACTTTATCTTGCTTCTGGAGGCTGAGGAAGTATTGTCCTACATTTGTCACTGATTATGGAGTGCTTTAAATACATATTTTCCTCTACAAAACTCACAAAAATATATTTGTTGCCTTGAAGACTATGCAAACACATTTCCAAATAGTCATATTTTTTAAAGATTGCTGAGCTACTGGGTTTTTTTTGTTTTGTTTTGTTTTTTTTCTGACAGTAATCAGTTTAATTCTTTATTAGGAATTTATGATATTCTCCTGCCATCTTCTAGGCATGGCCTTCTTCCTTTCAGTCTCAAGGTTTGTGCCTCTCACTGGATCAAAGAAATTATTAGTTTGGGATTTGGCAGAGCTGAGGTGGTGAAAACCTCAGGGAGAGGTAAAGGAGACATGTCCTAAAGCAGGATTTCACAGGATAGAAATGTTCCCAGCAGATTGCTTTGGGTGGCTCTTGGGCTTTTTCCAGTCACATGCTATAGTCCCTTTCTCCCTTCTATGGGCTTCCCTTGTCCCCACTTTATTAGATTGATTTCTGGATGTTCTTACAAGGCAAAATTCAGAAGCTGTTTGCTTTGAGATGCTTCTGGACTTTGGAAGCCCTGTTGGAGATACCTGGAGATGTTATTTTCTGGACACTCTTCTTACAGTTCCCCCGAGAGGTGTGAGTTCCTAGCACTTCTCCAGAACAGATCAAACTTTGGATCCCCGCAAATTTTTATGTTAACTGTTGTGTAAGCCAGCACGGGCAGCACACAGGAACAACCACAAAACTACAGATGACATGTAAAAAGCTAATTATTCTCGTTACTTCACGTCCGGGGAGATCTCTGCAGCAGCACCCAGGCAGAGGCACGCAAGCAGGGATGCGGGCACCGCGGAGCTCAGTCCTTGCTAACCAGAAAGAGGTGAAGAAAAATCTCGGTCCTGCTGCTTTCGCTTGTAGATATCAGGATTTTTGCAGGCGTACTTTAACACTGTGCTTTGATCTTTCTCACAGCAGGGCAAGAATCTCAAAGATGTTTGATAAGGTGGTCCTGAGCCTCCCCCAGGCCTGTGTTATCTCAAGGCAGATGTTCTAGGAGTCAAGCACACAAGGCCAAGCAACAATTAGTGAGATATATGTCTTTTTTGACAGCCCAGCTGCAAGTCACTTGAGTGTGATTACAATCTACCTTGCCAACCCACCCTTGTATTCCCACAACTATAAACATGAACTACTGAGGAAGCTAACAAGGATTTCCTACCTAAGGATTATATATTCAGAACTGAACAGCCACTCAGGTCAAACATGAATTTTGATACTATTTTGCAATGTCACAAACCCAAAATATTACATTTCCAATAAGGCTTTAAATAAAGCTCTTGCAGGAATCTGATGTTTTTCATTCATACTGAAAATTCAGAAGATAGTTTGGAATTAAATCCTCATGAATTCTGCGACTTTAAAGGATTCATCAAAATAACTTGCTCTACCCTTGGTTGCAATACCAATTCCTCCAAGTCGTCTCTTCATGTTTCTTCATTATGCTCGTAACTACTGTATATTTGCTCATAACTACTGTATATAAAACTGATACAGAGCTTGGTTTATACCCTAAATCTTTTTTGTCGTTTCAGTACAGTCTCACTGAATTTACTGGACAGGCTGGGCTTTCTCTGGCCCCTAAACATGAGTAGCTACCGTTCTGTTTCCCCTTCACCCCAGTCTGATAGCTAAGGTGGAGGATTTAACCAAAAAAGTAAATATTTTTGTCTATATTTTAATTAAGAATAGCACTGTCATTTGTTCTGTGCCTGAGCATTCAAATCCTTTCATTCTCAAAACCATCTCAAATTTTTTGAGAAGAAAATCCCCGCTTCCCTTACACTCTGAATATACCAAAAGAGTAAATCGTAATGAAAAGCTCAGTTGTGTAGAGATGTGCAACAGTCTCCACTGACAAGATGAAACCTCTAGCACTTTGCTTTCCACATAAGAACAAAATTTAAGGTACTTTTCGTTAAACTCTCAGCACATTCAGACACCCAAATGATGGCAACAGTGTTCAGTGCTTTTCCCCTGACTTTCAGTGGCAGCTGCCATGTGCTGACTGCTGGAAAAGGGCCTTGTTGGTGCCTACAAGATAGATGAACTCTATCTGACAAACTGGACATGGGTGGCTGTTCTACAATCAGCAATGACACCCGTGTTTTCCTGTGAAGTGATAACCTACTTATGGGCCAGGCAGTGTAGTCTCAAGTGAGGAAAAAATCATAAATTCCATTGATGTGTAAGACAAGTATTCTAGTCTAAGCCTTATTTATCATCTTTTTTCTTGTTCTTTTTCAGGTATTTTGAGTTTTATGAAGGGCCTCTGGAATACAACTCCACCAAATGCCTGGAATTACGGCAGGACATCATTGAGGTGAAGGTTTTGTCTATGTAAGTATGAATCAGTGCTTGCTGAAAAGATTACTTTTCAGGCAGGATGAAAGCAAAAGATATAAGGCTCAAGAGATCATGTCAATAGGGATCACATCAGGGATTCCTGAGGTTCTCATATATGTGCAAGTAGTGACATCTGAATTTGATCTGAGGTCCATTTGAAAAAAATGGAGGCTTTTCACATACATTGAGGCATTTTGGTCAGGCCCAGTATCGCTGTTTGAAATTAAATACAGTGTCTGTAATATTATTTGTAATATTATATTCCAGGTAGTTGAAGAGTAGGAAGAGCCAGACAGACTCGTACCAAGTGTCCATCTAGCTTAAGGCTCTATCATTGACAGTGGCCAGTAGTGAAGGCTGAGAAATTAAATAAAAAGGTTAGCCCTTCCTGATAACAAATACTGGCATGGGGACTTGCTGAGTGGTAGATGGTGACTAGACTAATCAGAGTGGACAACAGACCTCTCTGTTAATTTGTTTAGATCTTTTCTGAACCCATTTGTATTTATAACATTCTCAATCAGCAGGGAGTTTCACAACTTAATAACACTCAATAAGAAGTAGGAAAGTGTGATTCTGAGAAACAATAAAATAATTTTCCTTAGTAGTGCTATATGTACATCTGGAAATTTTTGAGTTGAATGAGATGTATCTACGAAGCCATAGCAATAAAATCGGACAAAGAAGTGTGGCGGTCAGTGGAACTCATTGGACAGAGCACAGTAGGGTATTTTTGTGTTGTCCTTTTGCATATTCACCATCACAGTGAATTTAGGTGCTTAGATTATGCCTAATCCTTTACCATATCTAAAACCAGTGGTTTAGTAATCTTACTGGCAATCCACAAGGTTTATTAAGGTGTGTAAAGTGCACTGAGAATCTCAGTTGAAAAAGTGCATAGCATTAAGCAATGAAGACTAGAGAAAATACAATTTGTTGCTCCAGGTCTGCAGGGTTTTGAGCATGTGTCCCTCCCTGACTTTATACACAGAAAAATACAGGTTATGTCATTGTCTTCTGTATTTGGTACTGGATTAAGGATACACAAGGAACAACTTTGCACGGCTTGCTGACTTGCAGTGCTTAAAAATAAATAGAAGGGGTGAGAATGTCACACTTCTGCCGATGTTCTACTGAAGATGGGGAGTTTTGAATTGCTTTTCTGCATACTTATCAGATGGTACAGAGAAATACTTGTTTCTCATCACTTTTGCTAATGGCATGTATAAGGTAGGGGGCTCCTGCTCAGCTGGATAGAGTTAGCCTTACTTCTACGATAGAAGCCGTTTGTCATTAAGCTCTTTTACTGTCCTGGGTTCTTCTGATGTGCTTGCTTCTGGTGTGTTACCTTTCCTAAGTCAGCCCTTATGGTAATGGAAGTTATCCAAGTTAATGTGCTCTGGTGGGCTACAGAAAGTACAATATGACCTAATTCCTTCCTGTAACTCCCACGGCCTGGGAAATCCTAAATTCTACTCACTTTAAATATATAATTATCTTAAAAGTCTTTGCTTTGTTCAAACGTTCAAAGCCCTCAAGCCTGAAGAGAACTCATTAAGATCTATCAGTCTTGAAGAAATCTTACACTTCAAAATTTTCTAGCCAGATGATGACATTGCTGCCTAGCTCTAGGTAGTTGCAAGGCTTTCATTATCTCTGTTGTCCAAATACAGAAGAACAGGTATAAACTTTAAGGTAGAAGTGGTTCAAACTCATGATATCACCGAAAATGTGTCATCCTGTATCAGCCTAGTAGAAATAGGAGTGTCATTTTTTGATGTAACTTAAAGTATATTTATTAACAGGGGAGGGAGAGATCCCGTAAAGAGCTTTTCATGTCCTCTTACCTTCACAGATTCTTATCCCTACACACATGCTCTTGCAGTTTATAAAGTGGCTTTAACGACAGTGCTGTTCTGTACCATCTCATCGATTAAGATAACCTCACCAAAATATAATCGCAGTTGGCCAAGTTATCAGAAGTATGCTCTTTTCCAACACCTGCTATGCTAGGTGCAACTTTTTCCCCCAAAGCCACTGCTTTCCAGCAGACTGTGGAAAGACATTGGTACAGTAGATGCTTCTTGCTCAGTACTGTATTTTTTTATCCTGAAGAAATGGAGAATGCCTACCAGGGAGTAGAGGTCAGTCCCAAACGTCTGAAGAGCTCCATCAATACCAGTGTATACGTGGCTTAGAGTTGCTATGTCTGAGGAGAAAAAAGAAATAAAACCGACAAATTTTGGACTGGCTAGACCGACTAGTTTGCCCTGTCAAAAGCCTACTGCATGGAACTCTGGCTGCAGCTGGTTTAGGAAGTGAGGCTCTTGTAATAAAGTGAATTTTTATTTTCTTTCTTTTTATCTTTCAGGGTGAAACAAACTGAATTGTTTGACAGATGGAAGAGCCTTCAGATGTGCAAATGGGAGATGAATGTCACAGAAGCTAATTTATTCAAGTAAGAATGGTCCAAATTAATGAGACTGAGTAAGATTTGTTTTAGTTTGAGTTTAGCTTCCTGTAGAGAGAGAAAACCGTCACATGGATAGCAAGGATAAGCATTATAACACTGTTACTGTTGGAGTACCATCCTTTTGAATAAATGTGGACTTTTTTCTACTGTACAAAAGTCAACAGCAAGAGTGAAAGAGAGCTCTTCTGGCATGTGGAACAGCCTTCCCAGGAAAGGCAGGGAATTTGATATGGGAAAGACTTCCATCTATGATTCAGGCAGAAGTAAGGACGGAGTCAAGACTTAATGGGTGCACCTAATACATCAACCTAACTCTCTAGTGGTGTAAAATGGTAATATCATCAATGACACTGCACATTTGGCCTACAAAATAATCAAACTGGATTTTTTTCTGTGGTGTATTAGGTAGTCAGACCTTGTTTATGACTTCCTCTTACTTAATGGCTTCTTAGCTATTACTCTCTGATTACCTAGATATTTTTTCTGGTCTTCAGAGACCTCTTCAGTTTGTTTCTGTAGTGCCCTTTGTGTGACTTCCTTTTTGCTGAGAGTCCTTTACGGTCCTTTCAAAATACAACTTTTGAAATGGGTCTTGTGAAGGCAGTAGTAGAATAAAGCCAGAACAATATTTGAATGTTGTATATTGATGTATTCAAGAGTCATAATTGAGTAGGGCTAGAGAAAACACATTATTTCAGAGTAAGTGGAATACAGACTGGTTAAATCTGTTAAGTCACTGGCACAGTTCAGAGATGTTGTTTAGAATAAGTCCCCACAGCTTTCTTCCAATATCTCTTGCATGATTCTAGGAAATAGCTGTCACGAGTTAATGAGAGAATGTGAGAATGCATGTGCTGAATTAGTCATTAACATCTTTAAAAATAACTAATTGTTAGTCTCAGGCTCATAGCAGTTTTTCCAATGTGAGCTCCACATATCAGGTTTTTAGGGTTTTTTTGGTATATTTTTTTCTGGAAATTGTTTGATGGATAGTTGTCAGAGCTCATGTTGAAGACAAGAGCCATTCAGGATTAGAGCCTGCTGTCTTAAAGGTTGCTTGGGGTGGGAGAACTAATGATTGTGCCTAGAGCGCAAGGAGCACATTGAAGTATGTGGGCCAGCTCAGAGGTGGGAACGGTGAGAAAGGACTGTCTAAAGCCCATCAGAAGGACCATCACTGTCTCTCAGGCCACCCACAGTAAGCAAAGAACCCTTCTCCATCCTAGACAATGCACTGAGAGAGAGCAGAGATGAAAGACCCCATCTCTGGCTACACCTGACTGCACGATATATCACTGCTTAAGAAACTCCCACTGCCACCTAGATGTTACCCAACCTTTGTTAGCTGGTTCCAGGAACAGTAATCATGCTAGTTATGAAAAAAAACCCGTTCAAAAGTCTGTTTCTTTTTTGTCTTTTGGGATAGTCTTCAGTGTGTGAATGTATGGAGAATCTTAAAAGCAGACCAAAGTCTCTGAGTTTGGAGCTAGACTGGTAGGAAGCTAAATGGTGGGAGTCTAACACCACTGAGCTGCTGGCTTTCAAACTTTGCCAGTTCTGGACCATCAGGTGAGATGGGGAGAATAGAGCAAAACTTAAATGGCAGCTACTTAAGCAGCAGGAAGCACAAAAATCACGGTAGCTTTCATACCTGGAGACTAAAGAAAGCAATTTCCTTGACAGTCTTCCTCCTCAGGTATCAGACATTGACGTTAAGGAACATGCCTCTGGAAAACCAGCTGGATATTAGATTAGAGGATAACATCACTTAACATTCCTTAATGCAGAACTAATGAAGAATTTTTTCGTATCTCACCACAATCCCACTACCTGCTTGCAATTATTTAATAATTTCATTATTAGAAATTATTTCTTTACTTATTCAGTCTCAATTGCTGCCTTGATCTGATCATCATAATTGTGTCATTCTGCATGAGTTGAGTATATAATAGTAATTGGACATCACTGAAATGTTTGCATAATTCTGTATTTGCTTTCTGATGCTTGTAATAAAGCCCATGAAGAAGACAGGCTTATTCTTCCAACTCATAATGAGGCCACATACCTCAGAGGCAAAGTATTTAATCTAGGTTATTTGAGAGCCATTTGGCTTTGTCTTCATGTTTGTGCCATGACATGTATTTTTCATTAAAGGTATGTGATGCATTGACTGAGAAACAAACTGGCTCTGGAGTAAGAGTAAGCTGAGATCAGGGCTTTCAGTTCCACCAGTAAAAGGAGAAAAGCATTTAGGGAAAGATGGGAGATAAAAATTTATTCCTATTTGAAAAGTGGCTTTTCCTGTTTAAATTTCATATCAGAGCTGAATGGACTTGCTCTGATGCCAAGAATCCCATATTTGAGGTTTCAAACCAGTTCTTGTTGGCATCGTAATACCTAACATTTTGTCCCAGTGACAATGTTCACCATTTATCTGAGGTTTTGGAGTCGTAGCCATGACCAGTCTGCCTGACACCCACCTCTTGGGTCACATCATCTTCCTAATGCACATATGCAAGGTCAAAGGCAAAACTAAGACCTTTAAAAGTTATTCTGTAAATAGTGTGCCATCCTCCACAGTAGTCTGGTGAGTGGGGTAACGTCTTTAGGTATTGCTGTGTTTAAGTCCCTGCCCCGCCACACTTCCAAATACCCAGATGAATATTTAAGCCCTGTGATTCCTGCCCAGAGATGAGTAAATAATTTACAAAAGTGGAAAACTTATAAAGCAGAGAGGGATTAATTCATTAGGATGGTTTCCCAAGGATATTAGGAGCAAAAGCTCGGCTTTGGGGTCTGAAGCAGAGCAGAGTTTACACATGTATTTCCTGAAGCCTAGAAGAGAAACAGGTACAGGGATCTCATTTCTTCTGGGTTTTTTCTTTTTTTTTTTTTTTTTTTTTTTCACAATGACCAACTATTTTTATACTTATTTCTGCTTGCAGCTTATCTGTGAAAAGGCTGCACAATTTTAAAATATATTCATCATAATGACTATTCAAAACCTTTTCAGCAAATAATCCTTGACCTAGGGGGTCATTCAAAGTTATAACCAGTGAGCAATTCCCATTGCACAGAGTGAATGATGTGCAGAAATGGGCTTATGTGACTACTGATTTATCACGGGTCACACCTCATGAATTTAAAATGGCATATTTGGAGGGAATAACTGACATTTATCCCCTTCAGAAAGTCAGAAAAATATTGAAGTACTTAGATTTGTGTCATTAGTGTTGTCCTTCAGGGTCTAACCACTTTTAATCCGTTGGCTTCCTGAGCACTACTAAGAGGTAGGGTAGTGCTGTTATCTAAATGTGCACATGGGGAACTGGGGCAGAGCAGGGGAAAGGCTCAGATCCAGGAAAGCGCTTTGACATCTGGAGACATGCAAAAAATGGGTACATCAAAATTCAGGAGTAGTATCCTCAAAATCCTGCTTGACTGCACAGATGAGTGCACAAAAGGCCAGACTCCTATGCTTTTACTAGGAGTGTCCTATAGCTGCTGTTGTATTTATCCAAGTATGCCTCGAGGATGCTCTGCGGGCTCCATCCCCTGCCCAAGTGCCTTTGGGATTTCACTGGGCAGCACCTATGTGGCCTGAGCCACCCTCTGCCTAGGAGCAGGGCTGCAGCACAGCAAATGTAGGAGATAAAGGGCTGAAAGCGCAGGAGGAAGACTGCAAGGTCAAAGAGCCTTTTGCTGAGTGCAGAGACCTGGATTCTGATCTCCCTGTCAGGACTGCTGAAGCACTTTGTGTTAAGAAATCACTGGATGAAGCACAGACAACTCTATCTTGCCTCTCTGTTAGGCAGCTGCTGCTTTTCTCAGACAGGTGTAATTGCGTGCCCTTTTGCCTCATGGCTTATGAATGCTATGGAAAGATCCTAGGAACAACCACCTAGAAATGTCATGCCACTATCACATCTCTCTGTAGTTTGTGGTATGAAATTATTGATAAAATATGTATGTACCAAAACGAGCGCTGTCATGCTTATATAAGCACATCTCTACATATTCATAAGGTGTAGCGTGGCTCAGTTCTGCGTCACAACCCTCTCACCCTGACAGCCCAGTTCTGTTCTCCAAGAGATGATTTTCACTCTCTGGCATCAGCGGCAGCTGCATGTCTGCATATGAAGGCAGAATTTTGCCTGAAGATGTCAGAAAGATACAGCCTACACAAGTCCAGAAAAGTGCCTGACCAAAGTCTCTAGACACTGCTGGTAGTACAAGTGCTAATTAATAATCACTAATACTATTAGTACAATTAGTGTTAGCAAGCGCTAAAATTTGGGCTACGTTCTGATAAATAGGTGTAGTGTGCTGTCTGACTTAGACTTCTTGGGCTTTACTAGCTGCTCTGAAACTATGTATGCAGACTTCCTGAAAGCCGGACATCAGAGCCCGAGGAGTGAGCAGGGCGCAGGCAGCCGAGAAGGCATTGCCTAGGGTATGATAATTTTATGGCTTGTGCCCTCATGTGGGAGTCAGAAGGGAAAGCCAAGTTTCTGAAATGACTTATTCTGTTATTAAATCTGGACAAAACCGGGTTATTGCTTTTTTTTTTTTCCCTCTGAGTTAGTTGGCCATGCTATCTCTAATTGCAGAGAAAACAATCCCTCCCGTTTATGTACACCATGGGAATACTACGGGCCAGAACCAGTGTCAGCTTCCTATGATTAGTGCATATGTGGCAAGATGCAGCTGCAGGAAAAAAAGGAAAAAGTTAAAAAAGAGATTTGTTGCTTCCACGTTTCAAGGTATTTTAACTGTTTCCTTACGTGATGTTGCAGGATATGCCATACCACCGCTCCCAGTTTAAGAAATGTGCGGTGGTTGGGAACGGAGGAATTCTGAAGAACAGCAGATGTGGCCGAGAGATTGACAGTGCAGACTTCGTGTTTCGGTAATCATCACAGCACCGTTTTTCTTTTTGCCTGTTCTAATGACAAAAAAAGAATTGCAAACCTGTTCTCTCTCACGTGGAAACATGGGATTTGTCAAACTGGCCCTATCAAGCCTGCTTCTTGCACAAAAAAAAGCAATGTTTAGGAAAAAAAAAAAACCCTCACTGTATATTTGTTCAAAAATTCTTTGAGGAATTATTTCTCCCTAACTCCATGTGGTTAATCAATGGCTTATTGACAAAGTTTGATGTCCTCTTTCAGGACATCCCCTGTCACTTGGGTTGTGGATCTATCCCTCCATGGGCATTAGCTCATAAGCAGTGTCCTGTGAATGTGGCCACGATTTTCTGGTGCAGTTCTGAACTAGAGGTACAACCTCTATTGCTTGACAAGCAGCTTGGCCAGGTGTTAATAGCTCCACGCTGTGCAGTTCATGTGCCTCGGAGGTGTGTTTCTGAAGTGGTGCAGAGCTCAAGTGCTGGATAATGGGAGACTCCAGGGTGTGCAGAGATGCCTCAATAACTCTGGAGGTTGAATGTCCTCGTATTGTGCTCCCCACCATATGTGGAGCTATTCAGGTTTTGTAGACTGGGATGTCCCACAACTTTTGTCCCTGGATAACAGAGTTTAGCAGCACTTTTTTCATCCTTAATATATATGGGAAAGATTTTTTAATTATTCATATGCATGACTAATCCCTCTCTAAATCCTGTTAAGCTCTTTGTCCAGGTCATGGCATGTGACAACTAGATCACAGATTCATGACCTGTTCTGTAGAAAAGAAAAATCTTTTTACTTCTGTTGGCCTGTTTTCTGATTTTGGGTATGTTGCCAGCACTTTAGAATAACTGTGCATAAATCGATTAATTTATCTGATTTCATACCAGCAAAAATTATGTCAGATTTTGGCTCACTGCATTCTTAATTTAATTTGGCATCAAATGAGAAATAAAATTTTACAGGTCCTACCTTCTGTGTTCATTGTTTTCAGATCCTTGTGTCTACCGCTTGGGCCCACTTTATAGAAAATGGTTGTCTTAGTTTTAATCTGTGAAACAGTCCAGACTTCACATAATTTGCTTCTTCAAAGCCTAGTGTACTCTGTATACGTTAAATAACTACTGTAGATTCCCTTCTGTTGTGTTGGATCACAGCCATCAGTGTGGTTGAAAGGAGTGATACATGTTACACGTGGAGATGAGAAGCTGTTGAGTCGAAGTGGAAATAAGGGCAGCAAGTGTCTGCTTTCAGTGGAGGTCCCTTTTTACCACTGCTCCTCTGCCCTGATATGTACCAAAAATGATTAAAAAGAGCAGATCAGATCACTGCAGAACTTAGAAATCGCGTTGCTTTTGGTACCAGTAATTAATTAAATAGAGAGTTAAGTAGAATTGAAATATGAATAAATGCATCAGTACTTGCGCACAAAAAACCCCAAACCCTGGTTCACCATCTCTGAAACGTGGAACCAGCACAAAGACATGCCAGTGTTTAAGAGCTTAAGGTCTGCTGACATCAGTTTTAAAGTCAAGCTTGTATGTAAGGTCAGATCTAAACACATCCAATTTCTAGTCTAATACCAGTTCACCAAACCGTCAGGAATCACCTTCTTGGTCACCAATGAAATAATTATTTGGAATTATTTCAAAAACTGCCTGTGGGGTGGTATCAGCATTCACTGATTCCTTCAGGACACCTGGAAAAATCTTTTATTGCTAGGAAGCTTGTGGCCAGCAGGATGCAACCAAGATTTTTCTATGAAATAAATTTTGATAACAATTAGTTGTAGTTCAGTAGTATATATAAAGTACACACACATGAATTGCATTTACTAGTTGTTATTGTCTGTCTCCATCTACTGGCCAGAGTAGAGGTCTGTGATGAAACACGGTGCATTTGGAGACGAGACTATTCTCTTTGCAGGGATGAATTTTTGGAGTTTTGTGGCAAAAGTAGAGTTTATGCAGGTTGTATCATTTTTATAAGGGATGACCACTTTCAACAAATTCAATTTTCTTAATCCTTGTGGCAGTTTATTGTTGGAAAATATTGAAGATGAGTATTTGAAAAGCTCTTTCAAATATAATCTAATGAGCGCAGTGCCCAGTACTAGGTGGAACTGAGGATGCTAGAGGCCTCCAGAAGGACTTTGCATGACCTAGCAGAGAAGAGTGCTGGAAATAACACTGCCTATGAGGAGGATGGGTTGGCTAAAAAAAAAATTCTCTGACCTGGTAGAGAGGGAACCTCCTGAGTCTGGCAAGGACTTTGAAGGACTTTGTGCATTCTTCTGCTCCCCCATTTGCCCTCTACCCGTGACTAAGAAATTATGCTGACAGCTGAACTCTAGTATTGTGAAAACACCGAGCATCACTTACCCTAAATAACTTGACAGTTCTCTCCTATTCAGCCCTGATCTTCAGAAATAGGAAGATGTTTGGCACAGCACAGCAGTATTTTTGTGATATGGGGGTCTTAAGAGTGATGGCTTTTACTGAGGCTTGTAGATCACTTCAAAAGTTTTCAAAAGGTATCTAATGCTAGCTTAAACTGAGTGTAAAACTAGTCGCAAGGCTACTTACATTGCCTCTGATAACACATGCTGAACCTTTTTTTTAAGCTGGGTTTCGTATAGAAGTGAAGCTTGCTTGTGTGTGTGTGTGTGTGTGTGTGTTTCAATAACTTTAGCATCCCTTGATGGATGCTCTAAATTTTGTGAGATGATGAATTAAGGTCAAGGCCAAAGTGAGTGGAGGCTGGGCAAAGTCAAGGTTTGCAAACCTTCACAAGTTTGCTCCTGATAGCTTTGACATCCTCTGGTGAATCTGTAGAGTGAGAACTGCAGTTCTTACACTGTGCTAGGAGACACTTATAAAGAAAAAAGAAAGGGAAGCAGATAGTTTTGGATTCATTAGGACTGGGCAGGTTTCTCTCTTGTGGAACATTTCCCCTAAATTCTCTTGGGTAAAAAACAAAGCATGTTAAAAGCTGTATTATAGATTTAGTTTATCTATTAATTATTGAATATAGCTCAGCTGTTGCTGAGGAAGTCTTTGATTTTATGGGTTGGTTGTGCTTGGGGCTTGTGTGAGCCAGCACAGGCAGGATTCAGGAACAACCACAAAACCATGGATGAAATGCAAAAAGCAAGTTTATTCTCGTTACCTTGCAACCCAGGGGATCTCTGCAGCAGCACCCGGGCAGAGTCACACAAGCGGGGATGCAGGCACCGCAGAGCTCAGTCCTTGCTAACCAGAAAGGGGAGAAGAAAGAAAAGATCACAAAACTGCTGCTTTCACTTGTAGATATCAGGGATTTTTCCATTGTGCTTTGATCTTTCTCACAGCAGGGCAAGAATCTCAAAGATGTTTGATAAGGTGGCCCTGAGCCTCTCCCAGGTCTGCGTTATCTCAAGGCAGATGTTCTAGGAGTCAAGCACACAAGGCCAAGCAACAATTAGTGAGATATATGTCTTTTTTGACAGCCCAGCTACAAGTCACTTGAGTGTGATTACACTCAACCTCGCCAACCCTCCCTTGTATTCCCACAGGGCTTCATCCCTTTTCTTGTCCTAAAGTGCCAAAGTAGATAGTTGAAGAAAGAAAAATGAGTGAACACTGGCTACATCCACAAAAAGGAGTCAGCTCTGGCAGACTTGGGGTGGAAGAGAGTTTTTCATCCAGCCCCTAAGAACTTGCTACTTTAATGCGTTGTTTGGGCATCAACACGTTTCATAGCATTTTAAATTCTCAATCTGTTTCTAGATTTGTTGCTTGGAAGAAATGCTTAAATCAGTTCTGCTTTCTAGTCCTGAAAATGCACAAGGAATTGTTTAACTTTCTTACTAATTTCTTTCCTTTATAGATGCAATTTGCCTCCTATATCTGAGAAATACTTCACGGACGTTGGGGTAAAGACGGATGTTGTGACTGTCAATCCCAGTATAATTACTGAGAGGTCATTTATCTTTTTTTTTTTTTTGTATTTTCATCTCCTATTGCTTTTATAAATCTACTTTTCATTAAATTCTGCTACAGAGAATCCTTTTCTCCAGTATTACTTTAAACTGATGCTATGAATCACATATTTCATTCTGAACTTAAGTTATTCAGTACGTGCAATCTATAGCAACCTATAGAAATGTGTTAAACACTTAAACCAGCACACTGGTAAGTGGGAATTGGGAAGCTGATGAGCTGAAATCATAACAGCAGAGTCATTCTTCACCTGGAAGTCCTGTACCATGCTGGCAAGGCCCAGGCAAATGGGACACATTAGGGTGGAAGCAGCTGGTTCCCACCCTAAATTCTTAAATAAAGTAGTACACATTGTAATATGCTTTTGTAAAAATGCCAGTTAAACTTTGTAGCCAGGATTGACTGAGTGATTTTAAATTTAAATTTCTTAATGCCTTAATGTCACATTGCTGACAGGTTTGGGATCATGAGGCTAATTACTGGTTTCCTATCTTGCTGGGGGAATCTGTTTCTTTTCTCAAGCAACATTTGCTTGCATCGTGGATTTCTTTTAAATGTTACAGTTAGACATTTTAGAAGTGGTTTTGCTTTGGTATTTGCCACTTTTTTTTTACAGTTCTGCACTGTGTAATGCGCTATACTGCTGACCAATCCTTGGGAAAATTACATACTTTTTATAATAAAATGCAAAGTGGGACATTATCAGAATTGTCTGTAAAGCTTATCCACTGTTTAATGAATTGTCAAAAGAGGGGAGAATATGTTTTTTTTAATCCCCTGCATTTTTGCTGTACATTTCATACTGATGTTTTATCTACGAAACTAAATTTATTCCCCTTGTTAAATGAAACGTAGCTTCAGTTATCTCTGTATCAGAAACGCTTCTGTAAAACCCCATTGGGGGTTTCTTATCTACTGGGTCCAGATTGAGTCCGCACTGGTCTGACCGTCACTTGCATCCTTTTCCCTTTAGATTTCATAAGCTGGAGAAATGGAGGAAACCCTTCTACGACGTGCTCCAGGTCTACGAGAACGCTTCCGTTCTGCTGCCAGCTTTCTACAACACTCGCAACACGGACGTCTCAATCCGTGTCAAATATGTCCTGGATGATTTTGAATCTCAGCAAGCTGTTTATTACTTTCATCCCCAGTATCTCATCAATGTCTCACGCTACTGGCTCGGCCAAGGGGTGCGGGCCAAGCGGATTAGCACTGGACTGATCCTGGTGACTGCTGCCCTGGAGCTCTGTGAAGAGGTTCACCTTTTTGGCTTTTGGGCCTTCCCCATGAACCCCTCAGGGATTTTTATAACTCACCACTACTATGACAATGTGAAACCTCGCCCTGGTTTTCATGCTATGCCCTCAGAAATCTTCAACTTCCTCCACATGCACAGCAAGGGGATCCTGCGGGTCCATACAGGGACCTGCAGCTGCTGTTGACAGGGACATTTCTTCCTCTGACACAAAAGTGTAACAGGAAGGAACTCAATGCCTCTGTATGGTGGAGGAGGTTTTACTACACCCTGAGATTATGCAATAATTGTTTGATAGAAATTTCCTCAAGGCATTGCATCCCATAGGATCTAGGATACCAGCACCTTTCCTGATAGCAGAGTTGGGTCCGTAACAATGTAGGAGAAGCAAAACTCCTCTCTCCCAGGGTAGCACTGCCCTGGAAAGCAAGTCAGATAAGAAGCACATTTCCAGTAGGCTTAGGGATAAACAGAGCACATTAATATAGTTATCATTTCACTATGAAGAAAAGCACCAAACTTTTGAGGAGAATCAGTGATGGGGAATTTTAGCATAGACTGCATGACTTCACATAGGTTTCTGAATCAAGTACCTTGGGTCATCGCCAGATTTTACTGAAAGCACTGTTCTCTGGAATTTGGGTTTTTGAAAATACACTTTAGTATTGTAGTTTTACGGGGAAATACATAACCCGAAGTCTTTGTTCTGTAGCGTCACAAAGTACTGGTGAAAAATAGCAGATAGATCTGATAGGAATAAACAAGAACACTTTGTTAATTTTTTCAGCCAGGATAGAAAAGAATGTTAAACTCCCATTCCCAGCAACAGCTAACTGTGTTGATCATGGTGTGCAACTTTTTTTGTGTTTCTTCTTCTTTTATGTGTCCTATATTTCTGGTCTCCTCTGCTGATCATGTCTTCTTCCTCATTGTCTGTAGTGCTTTCTATCTAGCTAACGCATGAGCCATGTGCGTACTTCTTCATTCCAGATTAGAGTCCTTATTAGAGGAAACATGCTTCTTCACACTTCTGCAAGCTGAATAGCAAGGAGATTACGTAGTTATATTTTCTAAGTTGATTTTGGGGTTCAAATACCATCACAGCATAAGACTAAAAAAAGCATTTCCTCTTTGATTTTTATTCAAGACTTTGCAAGAGTATCTGAATGTTGGTTCACTGTTCTGCGGGTCAAGTTAAATACTTTCAGGTATCTGTAATAGGTACGAGCAGAAAACAGTTAAAATACAGAGAGGATACTTTGTGGTTTGGATTATGATACTTATTTTAAAATTATGCATCTTAAGATGTCAGACATCTTAATGTGACATTTTTGTGTGTTGAGAATGTTGCTAGAATAGTAAAAGGACTGGTGTACTCTTTAAAATTTACCAATGCAACTCTGTCAGTTACGCCACGCTCAATTTTTCACCTGATACAGGTTAAATTGACACAATCCTGATGCAGAAACTCCTGCCACATATTGCGGGAGTTTATTTTGTCTGCTGAACTGTGGTGTAGTGGGCTGCTGGTATATGCCCTTTCACACCACAGTATGAGTGAGGGTGAGGTTTGCTGTTTGAGCTGTACTGGCATAGTTAAATGAACAGAGTTTCCTCGTTTAAGTTCTTAGTCTGAAGCACTTGGGCTGTTGTCCAGTGCCTTGTCTTGCTTTGATCAAGGATTGGAGTTTAACATGCTAGTTCTGTATGAGGAATACTTTTTTTTTAGGAGGGGGGGAGAGGGTTTAAATCCAAATCTGGACTTGGATTTTGATTTTGTAATGCATGAATGCACAAAGCTTGTTTTAAAAGACTCTGTGCTAAGCTGAGAGCTGTGAAAGTTGCTCATGCTACGGATAAAATGATCCAAAAGGAAGTGGAGCGTGATGGTCACCATTTCAAAAGTCCCTACTGGCCAGCAGTGACCTGGATGGTATGCGAGAGTGTATTTCCTTAACGTTACACTAGACTCCAAAGGTCTGATTACTTTTAAAAACAACCCATATCCTTGATAAATGTGTCAGACCTTACTTGGGAAATACCATCCAGGGGTAGGTGAAGGACCTGCGCTTGCGCTTTGTCTGTTTGTGTTGTTGTGCTTTTGGTCATAGAGTTACACTGTGTTAGTGAGCACCCCCTTGTATGGGCTAGCTGTGAAATGTGCAGCACACTAAGAATGAACCTGTAGATGAAATGGTTTCCTTGATTTAATATGCAGAGGAGATCTTTGTCTTTGCTGTGTTTTGTAGATTTATGTGCAAAGGGCTTTGATAATGCAGTAATCAAAGTGCTATTTAGAGAGCAATGTGACCCTGTGGGTTGGCCATCTTGCTGTGCGTTAAGCTTTATGATAACAAGAATGACACTGAAGTTGGTACCTAGAGCCTCTACTCCTTGTTCTGCCTAATTGTGGAAGTAGTAGTGACTTCAGTATTGCTTTGCTGCTGCTGCTTTGCTAAGCTTACCTTCTTTAGTAAGGGATTTTTCTCTGCTATGGTGATTGAAGTGAATGAATGCAACCAAAAGGAGTCTGATATGTTGTGGAAGATACTTCAGAAGAGATGGGAAAGCACTGGAGAAGCATCCATATGTTGGAGAGGAACTGTGCAAACCCCTCTTTATAGTTGCAAAAATCCTTCTGGACTTTTTGGACAGACAAAAGGATAAGCAAAACTGTAATTACAGTTAACCTGTAATTACAGGGTCACAGACATTTCCTTTCCTTCATATAAATGAGCAATGTAAATTCACCTAGGCTATACTGTAATAAGTGCAGCTTTACTGTGTTTAAATTTTGATCTGTTATAAATCTATATCTACTATATTTTTTTAGTGATGTTAAAATGTGTGTGCAGGATACTTGCACATATGCACCAAAGGCCCAGTCTTGCCACATTTATCTGAAAAGAGCTCCCATTCAAGTGGATGGGTATTTTGTTTGTGTAGGGACTGCAGAAACAGGCACAGACACGTCTGTGAAAGTGTACATAGCTGTATAGTTAGATATAAGGAGTGATTTGCAAGCCAGAAAGATTCTTAAATATATATAAAATAGTCCATGAGATAAAATGCATGTTGCAACACATTTACTTTCTGATTCATTTTTCAGGTGTTGCTCAAAAAATGATTGAAAAACTATGGCATTTGTCACAAGTGCTGCCATATGCAGAAGCTTTCAGATTTTTTTTGGCCTCTTTACCTTGCACCGGGTGCTGGAAAAACAGATTCCTGCCGCTGTACCACAGCATCTGTGGGGTTGAGTGGAAATGGCGTGGTGGCAGCTTGCAGAAGCAGGGTCTGAGGATGGACCCAACCTGCTGCTCAGTTCTCCATGGGTAGCAAATAAATGCTGCCCAGGAGATTTTAGCTAGGTGGAGGTCACTACCTGTGCAATGTCACTGTGGGCTGGGTGACCCAGCATTGGCCAGCCTGAGCTTCTGCTCGTCCTGCTTAAATGGATGAAAAGAAGGGCTGTTGCAGAAAGAAGGACCCTCCTTGTTTTCTGCCATCATTCTTTTGTATACTGAGCGTAAGAAAATATTCCTTTGGCATCTAGAATTTGTCTGAGTGTGAGGCTGTTTTGTCTTCCCTTCTCCCATGTGGTCAGAGCTCCAAATGTCCTATCTTAAGCTTCTTTGAACAATGGGATACCCGAGTGATAAGAAGTGACTGTCAGGAAGCTCTGTGTGTTTGCTGCACACTGTTATGGCAAGTAAAGGTCTTGCATAGTATGTAGTGCTTTCCCACAGAAAAGGCTGCAGGCCCCAGAGAAAACCCCCGATACAAAAATCTGATCTGTCCAAGAAGAAACACTGTCAGCTGTCTGGTACCACATCCTGAGCTCAGGCTGTAATCCCAGCTCTGTTGCTGAGGATATGAAATCTGCGACAGGGAGAGAGAAAATGGTGATAATATTATGGTTTAATCCCCAATTCCTCATATGATTTAGGAGAATCTCTTAAGAAGTTCCTGAGATCTGCATACACTGGCAATGCAAATTCAGTCAGAAAAACATAACTTGGACTGCTTCTCCTTTATTGTCAGGTCAACAGAGGAGGCTTATGAACCTGCCAGTGCTTTCATCAAAGGGAAGGAAGTATTTAGTCAAAATAGTTTAGCTGCTTGCTTTTGATTTATTAAATCCAACTTTGCTGTTGGACAGAGTGGATTAAATAGTGATAGGGACATTATAATATTTTAGCATATTTTCTGTAGCTGCAGTGGGAGTTGTCAAAGCCAGCTCATGAACTGCAAAGGGAGAACCATGCCGTGGCAGCTCCTCCTGCTGTGATCTTGGGAAGGAGAAGCGCTGTGGTGAGTAGGTCCATGGTCACTTAGAAAAGCGATGTAAAGCGGATATAGGGGATTGCAACCACTGCAATCTGGTCCAGAGCCTTTAGCTCTGTGGAGTAACATATGCCAGAGATAATGAGTGAAGCTTCACAGCTTGCAGCACTCAGGAGTAGCTCCCCTGGTCCCTGACAAAAGCTGCCCCCATGCAGGCTCGACCGATGATAAATTAAAGGTGATGTTCACTCGGGGTGGTTAGATACAGCAGAGAGAAGGAAATCAGCTCTAAGAATAGTCCAGTCTGTGGAGGTTCAGTGAATCAGTAGAACTGTTGCTCAGACCTTGAAGGCAAAAACACTGTTGGTGACGCAGCTACGTGGGTGGACTGCCCGTGCTCAGCTTTCCATGGCAGGGGAGAGAAATCCTGGTTTGTGTGTGAGGGAAACCGAGATGGATAAAACACTTGAGATGTGGAGCGAGAGGGAACCTGTCCTTTTTTAATCTCCTGAGGCCTGGTGGCTTGTCAGCAAAGCTCTGATCGTAGAGAGCACAAGCTTGGGCAATGAAAATGGAGAGCTCTGAAGTGGTCCTTTCCCCCTATCTTGCTTGCATCTGAGCTTGCAGAGAACTTTGGAGTTTTTCAAGTATACGAAGAAGGAAATAACAGAATCCAGTGATCCTTAAGGGGCAGTTTTCCTGGGAAATTCTGGAGTGATCTTGAGGTCTTAGAAATAAAGGAGTCTGTATTTACGCTTAGGGCCTTTTCCAAAATCCAGTGAAATCTGTGGAAAGTTCAGTGTACTTCAGAGCAAGCCTCCAGAAACAGGCCCTGATCATGGGCAGGAAGAGCAGCCTCTTATTTCTTACTTGCTCGATTTCAGATACACTTCTTAATATATTGTAGATACAGTACAGTAGCAATACTGTGTTTTTAATGGTGTGCGTAAAGAACAAACTCATCTGGAAGCAGAAATGTTGTGACTGTCACTCTCCCTTCCAGATTTCAGCACTTTTCATCTTTTCAAACTCATCTATGCAAAGCATTTCATCGTGGTGGTGTAAATTGCCATATGAAACCCCAAATGAACCCTCTGTACCTGACTGTATGTATGCGAATCACATGCCTCAAGAAAAGAGGTTTTTCTGCTTGCTTTAAAATACCCGCCTGGAATTCATCAGTGATATGAATGTGTTCAAGGCAGGATTCAGCCTGTTCCCTCTGAAGTCAGCGCAACGTTTTCATTTGGCTTCAATAGAAAAAATACATCTGGTCCAGTGCTTTTAAATCAAGCCAATGACCTGCATCTCCCAAACTCCCTCCCAGACTGTATCATTTTATGTCTTACTATTATCCTGCCTGATATGGGTGAGGCTGCTGGGCATCCCTATGTTGTCTGCATGGTATTCCAGATCAATAAGAAATTGTACTCAAGTGCTTTTTAAAAATAAATTTAAGGGAAATCCAAATGTACTCTAGGCATTAGAGTGAGGGAGCCTGAGTTCAAGGCTGTCAGCGCCTCCAATGCTTCCTGGAGCCCTGAGTATCTGAGAAATGTCAGAAATGAGGGACTGGGACATAATGGAAAACTTAAAGAAAGACAAATCTGCCTCAGCGCTTCAAGAATTGAAAGCTGTAAATATGTCATTGACATGTCTGACTTTCCCTTTAGAAGCCATAAATGTTCTCGGTGTTTGATCTTTGGGTAAGTTGATGTACGTTCTTAACTAATCCCTTAAAATGTGTTAGCATGTAAAATGGTGACAAGTTAAGCCAGCAAAACCAGATACTGTGTTGGCTTGTTCTCGAAATGTCTGTTCTACCTGAAACTGATGGACCAAGACACTGAAGTATCTCCAGTGCTCCGTATGGTTCTGGTTATTACCCATTTTAGCAGTGGGGAGCAAGCAGAATTGATTTAATCCCCGTTTGTTAACCTTGTGTTGGCCAAGTGATATGCACTTAAGTGTGACACTAGAGCCTGACCCCTTAGAGACGACGAAACTGCCTGTACTTGCGCTATCTGGGACGGGATGTGGTGGGTTTTGCTTCATTTCTGGGTCCTCCTTATTGCCAGCCTTGAGGTCCCTGTTCAAACCTCCGTTGTTCAGCCCATGTAAATGATCTCAAACAGCTGCTGCCTGTTGAATATGCCTCCTGTTTTCACCGGGTGGAAAACAAATGCTTAGTTTGGAAGTACTGGAGAAAAACTGTGTGTCTTCACGCTAGGGGATCATGGGCTGTTACAAAAATAAAGCTTATTTCATGTTTGTTGTTTCTGTAAGGCGGTGATGGTGGGGGTGGAGAAATCCAAGCGGAGTCATGGCAGTTTCATGCTGATGTTAATCCCTCGTGTCCCATTGACTCACCTTTCTTTTTTCAACTTTCCACCCTGTAATTTTTACTTATTGTTTCTGTAGCTGTATTATGGTTGTAATAGAAAGCCTATCAATTGATGTAAGCCATAACTAAAACAGTAATCAGGGTATATTTTGGTCTGTGTCACTGTGTTTGAAAGATGATTTAATTCTATTGAATAAACCACTTTAACAGTTTTATGGGAAAGGCAATCATTGGGCCACTTTTTGTGCCTTCAGACTCATTTTCTGTTTTCTGCTGTTCTGTGTCTCTGAAGAGAGAGAGTTGGGGGCTCAGCTGATAGAAACTGGTTTACATAACTAGCAAGTAGAATTATATGATGATATAATGTCATATGTGTATACAGATA